GTTAATATTTCATCTTTTTAATTTAGAGCTTGCGCTCTACAACAACTGGCCATGGGTAAACATTATTTGGACATTTTGCATTAAATATACATGTTATTTGTATCATTTTGCAGCAAGTCATAGTTCTGATAAGAAGATTATTCTATAAATTATGTTGGTCAATGCATTGGTCAGCAAGTCATAGTTCTGATAAGAAGATTATTCTATAAATTATGTTGGTCAATGCATTGGTGCAAAATATTTGAACTTATTACTTATATAATGAGGATCTTTGAACTTATATTTTTATGTTTTAAACTGATAGAGATTTATGGTTCTTAATGCAGATTTGCAATTTGGGTCCATTTCGTAAGCAGGTTGACAGTGGCTAATCTGTTTCTATTGGCATGCTTCCGCCATCATCTATTGATCGTATGCACTATGCATGCACGTGAACAATCATTTAATGGAAGAAGAACTTGCGAGGGATGTAGAATTGACAAAACAAATATAAAAGGGACTAAATATTACTCAAGCCATGGTACACAAAAATAGAAACTAATTAAAAGCATGCAAAGAAAAAAAAAATAAAAAAAAGGAAAAGTATATGTTTTCTATTTCGGTTTATTTAATTAAAATGCATAATCAAATAAATCTAAATTAAAATAATAGCAAACATGAAAATTTACCTTGATGTGGAAACCTGCAACAATCAAATCTTTAAATCTTCTAAATTCTGCATGAAAATTAAAAATTGAATAAATTTTAAAATAATATCAATTGCCATAAAAAGTAATTGTAGTGTCGAACAAGTGTCACTCTTAAATCAAATACACAAAATTTCTATAGAATAATCATGGAAAAAAAACTTACATGTTGAAGGAGAGATGGAGTTACTATAAAAATTATGTAATTTCTTGGTTTATATATAGGCATGAGGTATTGCATGTGATAGAATAATAATCATAATTAGAGTTTTATTATGATTTGAATTGTGTTACAATCAAACGGGGATTTGTAATATACAACAAGCGTTCAAATCTACACCGTTCTGCGCTTTGTTATGAATGTAGCTTGTTTTCAATGCGGCTACAGATAAGAATGTGAAATTGAATATTTAATCAATATTTATATGCAGCAGGCGTTCATATCTACACTGTTCAGGGATTTGCTTTCAAATGCAGTTTGATTTCAATGCGGCTACAGATAAGATAAGAATGTGAAATTGAATATTTAATCATAATTTATATGCAGCAGATTGATTGTCAATCATAAGTAATATAAATGATGTAATAGCAACAGATTGATTGTCAATCGGGGATTTGTTTTCAATGCGTGCAGCTTGTTTTCAATGCGGCTACAGAATACAACTGTGCATACTTTACTTTTTCAAATAGAGATAGCACTTTAGGGGGTGTTTGTTTCAAATCCTATAATTTTAGGATATGGATATTTCGATCACCATGAGATTTGAAATCCATACGTTTTTAAATATGGGTTGGGATTTCTAAAATGTTATTTCTTTCATTAATATTTTGGGATATGTAATCCTATAATTTGTATTTTTAAAATCAAATTGTAGCATTACAAATTTTAGAATTTAAAATCTAGCCTAAATCCTCTCTCAAAGAGGGAATTTCACAAATGCTATAATATATTAGTTTTTTATTATTTGGGTATTAAATATCCCAAAATTTATTTTGAATCAAACAAATATAATGGAATCCATAAACCCAAAAAAACATATTTTTCATCCTAGAATTTGTAATCCACCCTATATCCAAAAAAAAAGTTGAAACAAACACCCACATGAGGCGAAGACGGTCAACAGAAATGCAATGAGGTGTGAAAATGGGACGGTTGGTTTGTCAAGAACCGTTGGATTTGAATCATACACTGTACACGAAACGTACTGTACATACAAAGGCACCGCACATGAAAATAATTTGTTTTCGGGTGAATTTCACAAAATCCCGTAAACTTTTTTGTTTCTTTACAGAAAATACTTCTGAATTTCAAAATAAGAGAAAAACGGCTCAATGTTTGTCACTTGAGAATCATGATTGAGGATAGTTAGTTTCAATTTTTGTGTTCTTCATGAAAGACATGCTTTAAGATTATTCAGAAAACCTCCTGCGCGAACCACCGTTTTCAATAAGAAAACCGTCCCTCTGTAATTTTATCCACCCATATAAAAATTATGATTAATGTTTTTAGAAGGGTTTTCTAATAAAATCTTAAATAAGTTAACATGGAATTTCCCTGGTAATACCAAAACTTATGGGAATTTTCTGATATTTTGTATTACAAAGGGTTATTTGAGGGGGTTGGGTTTTGAAGTTTACGCTTAATTAAATAAATCATTATATATTTCTCTATAGCATACATCCTAGCAAAAAAATAAATAAAGAAATAATAAATAAAAAGGCTTTTACTATATGTAAAAACTATGGAAACGTATAGTCCAATGTTTTGTATGATGTGGTCATACTTGTTGGGGACAAATTTTCAAAACCAACCTATTTGAGAAACTAATTGCAAAAAACGACCCGTTTGACATTTATTTAGAGAAACCGACCTGGTTTCAGCACTGTAGCTGAAACCAGGTCGGTTTTTCTAAAAAAGTTTACGAAACTTCACGGGAGTTCAACTCCCGTGAAGTTTTTTCATGAGAAAAAACTTCACGGGAGTTGAACTCCCGTGAAGTTTCGTAAACTTTTTTAGAAAAACCGACCTGGTTTCAGCTACAGTGCTGAAACCAGGTCGGTTTCTCTAAATAAATGTCAAACGGGTCGTTTTTTGAGAATAAAATCTCAAATGGGTTGGTTTTGAAAATTTGTCCTACTTGTTGGTGGCGATACCCCAGTAAAGTACATTCCGTGGTACAGGGTGCTTGCTTTTATAAAAGAAAATGGTCAGATTATTGGCATCTTCTTTTCCTTTGGATGAAAGAAAGCGTGCTTAGACTTGCGGCCATCTATATACTATATTAAATTTCTTATCATTGCAAGTGCCACTCGACATTTTCCAATTATTTAATTACTTTCCAAAAAAATTAATGTGCAAAAACCAATCTATCTAAGTAAAAGTGTGACATTTTCCCCTTGACACATGCAACTCTCTAAATATTATCTTAATAAATATATTCTCTGAACAATTCTCTCCTATAGGTGTCCATTTCGACCTAAGGCCCGGACTCGGCCCCGTGTCCGGAGCTAACCTGGTCGGGCCGAAGCCCGGGCATGGCCCGAAAATCCGGGCCGAGCCAGGCTTTGGGCTCGGGCACGGCCTAGCCAGCAAAAGGATGCCTCGTCGGCCGCACCGACCCGACCCGACCTAGCCAGCAAAAGGGCGGGCCTGGGGTAGCCAAGTCTGGGCGCTAGCCGGGATACGTGGCCTGGACTCGGCTGGGAAAATGGGTCGCTCAGAATGGCGGCGACCCCCTGGTGGTCGCAACAGTCAGCTATTTGTGAGCTGTTTGTCGGCTTAACCGGGCCGGCCTAGGTCCGGCCCGGCCACAACGATCACGAATGCGTTGTGACAGGGCCGGGCTGGGCCTAGCCCTGTCTGCTCGGCCCTGTCTAAACGGCCATAATGATCATTTTTTGGCTTTTAACCAATATACCGTCAAAACGGTAAAAAATGACCAAATTTTGAGGGTATTTTAGTCATTTGGCTAGAGTCTGGCTCTATTAATAGAGCGAGTTTTCATTTATTTTTCTCATCCAAAACTCATTTACTTCTCTCTAATATTCTCTAATACTTTCTTATTTTCGCCTTTACTCTCTAATTCTTTAATCAAATGGCTTCCTCCTCCGATTATGAAGGGTAAATTCTAACTTCCGATGTTGAAATGTGCCCTAATACTCCTACTACAGGAACTATAGTTACTCCTCCTACCGATGTTGATCACAAATCTGGTGGTGATGATTCTACACCTAGAGCTATAGTTACTCTTCACAAATCATGTGAAGAGTTCATCAATATGTTCATTCTATCTAAAAAGCTAATATTAGACATCTTAATTATTAAAATTAACCTCAAATCCATAATCTTAAGTTTTAAAACTATAGTAACAATATGGCTAATATACATTCAAATATTTTGGATACAGATCCGGATATTTTACTAAAAAATCATATCCATAATCATATCATATCAATTATAGATTTAAGTAATCATATCTATATCCTAGCGGCTACAATTACAAAAATTTTCTCGAATATGGATATAGTTTAGCAATGGGAGGCGTATGGTTAAAAAAAACCGATAATCTAATGGTGTGCAGTGTCAAATCCTCCTTTTAGGGGCTGTTTGGTTGTATGTTTTTATCATGTAAAATGATAAAAAGTGTAAAAAAGTGGGTCCCAATGTCAGCTTTCATCACTTTACATTGTTTGTTTAAATTCTCTTTTACATGAAAAGCTTATACCTTTTGATGATGTGTCACCGAAAGCAAAATCATCAAAATTAGGAGTGATTTTGTTGGAAAACTTACACAATGTCATAAATGTGTCTAAAAAAATAATAAAAAAGTCAAAACCATGTAGAAAGTGGTGAGGTGGATAACCACTTTTCATTTTGTGTCGTAAATACTCTACTTTACATTATACTATCCAAACAATGTAATACTATTATTTTAGGATTCATAAAAATTCCTAACCAAACAATGTAAATACTCGAATGAAAAGTGATGAGGTGAATAACCACTTTCTATTTTGTGTCATAAATACTCCAGTTTCCTAAAGGCATCCAAACAGCCCCTTATATTTTATATCATCTAGTTTGGAAAATGATTTAAGGACCCAAAATATGGGACTAAGGGAGGGGACATGTGAGGTGTCCCCTCTCTATTGCATAATGAGTTGGTCATGCTAACTCTTGTCAACTCATTATGCAATAAGAAAGGAACACATCACCCGTCCCCTCTATTGATCTCATATTTTGGGTCCCTGTAGCATCACTCCATTAGTTTATCTACCTCACACTTTCCAAACTCCGTAACCGACCTTTGCCCATAGTGACGACCGCCACCTCATGGACTCACGCTTTTCATCTGACATTCAGTAACTACCAACTCTAAAGCAAGGTACAATCCCCTCTCATCATCTCCCTCTCCCCTCTGTTTATCAACAAAGCGCATCAAAGCATAGACAAGCAAAAGATCAAGAGGAGGAGGAATCAAAATCAAACCATCATGAGCTATCAGCATGTCTCTCATGAGTCATATCCACCCCCAGGCAAATACCCACTTCATGGATTTCTCTCATACTTCTTCTTCACTTCACTATGCTTTCTCCCTCATGGGTATTCTTGCTTTTTTTTCTTGGTTCTTGATTCATGGGTATGTTTTAATTTATGTGAGTCTTGTTGGGTTTTTTTGGATTTTGCAGGATATTCTCCGCCTTACCCACCTGAGCCTCCGCCTCCAGGGGTTTATCCACCATCACCATCTTATGGGTATCAGGGGTATTTCAATGATGGATATCAGCCACCACTTCCTCCTCCTCCTCCTCCTCCTCCTCCTCAATCCCAAGTGTATTATCACAGCCATGAGTATAATGGAGACTCTTGCCTCTCTTTTCTGAGAGGATGGTAAGTGATCTCAACTTGCATGTTAATTTAGTTTGTTGGTTGTTAGGGGGGTTTGGGTATTTTGATTGATTGGTAATTTGGTATCTTGTGATTTAGTGTGATAACCGTAGTTGAATGCGTACCATGTATGAGTTTTTGACCTTATTGTTCTTGATACTTCTATTGATATGTTGATTGATTGCTTGCTCAAGGGACTTATCACTTCCTTAATGTTTTTGTTTGTGGCATTTGGATTTTTTTAAAACTAATGATATATTGTTGATTGATTGCTCATGTGTGTGACCGCTTGCTTGCTATTAAATGTACATGTATGGTTGCAAATTCAACACCAAAGTTGTTACCTCAGAGCGGTGAGGAAACGGGGTGAAAACAGGGTGTCTCCCTAAGTTCTCCTCTTATTCAAGAAGTTGTTTATTAATTATAGGGACTCCAGAATTTGTGAGTACTTACTCTCACCACTAGCTCATCTTTATGTTTAATGGGGATAAGTTGATGATGAGCATAGTTGCACGGAATCCAGTTTGTTCTGGTTCATGGGACAGGTACGAGAGCGTGGTATGCCGCTTATTAGGAATCGGGTACGAGGGGGTAGGCTTTTACAATACGCTAGGGTACATGGTACGCTTTAGGTTTAGTTGATGAATGTAGGTATTAGAGGTTTTGTAAGAGTCAGGTTCAAGAAATATGTTGGTCATCACTAATGGTAATAAAAAAACCTTGAGAATCATGTTGCAATAAGGTATGCATACCTTATTTGCTTAATTTCTTGCATTTTTTGTTGTTTATTATTTAAAAAATAGTTCTTTTTCAAAATTTTAACTGGTTTGAATTCTAAATTGGGTCCCTAGAGTTGGTGAATCAGGGCGTATTCCTTGCGAGTCGGGGAAAATTGAACCCTGGTTATGGTTCATGATAGGGTCCCAAATTTCCGGCTTCTATGGTGATGAGTACCAACCACCACCTCCTCGTCAATCCCAAGGATATAACCATAGTCGAGTAAGGATCCTATCAGAACCCCTCGTGGTGCAGGTTTCTTTAAGCCAAATAGGAGGGCAGTGAAATATCCGAACTGCCTCCCTGTTTGTTACAGTGTGTTGCTCAGAACTTCCCGCATAAGTTTTGACTGGATCCTTAATGACACTTGACTTTAATTCATGAGAGGAATGCAATCTTACCTCATATGCAGTTGATTTTGTTGATTAGGCATTTTGATTGATTGGTAGCTTGGTGATCTAATTAGCTTTCTTGTAGTTGAATGTGTATCATTTATGGTTGATCTTTGGATCTGTTTGTGCCCATGGAATTATCAGTAATCTATCGGAAAAAGTAGATTTCACACGGAAGAAGCCTATCAGAATCAAATGCTCAACCAAAATTGGGTTTGAAGATGGTAATTTTGATGAGGGAATGGATGGAATTCGTTCTCACGTTAAGTTATTGTGTCAGAATTTCTTTCTTTAAGTAATTTTGAGAGAAACGGTGAAGCAGGTACCACAGTCAGCTTTCCTTTCAACAAAGAAAATAAAAATTCAAAAACTTGGGGATTCTGAAGAATTTGATTTTATCTGAGTTTAAAAACTCCACATTCTCAGCCAAATAGCCCCTTATTTTTCTACGCAGTACAGATGTGTTGATTGATTGATTCTGAGGTAGATGACCTCTTCTTGTTGATACCTTATTATTTATTTATTTATTTATTACTTCTGTTGTTCCAGTGGTGTCTCATTTAGTGTTATTGGATACTCTATTGTTTTGATGGTTTAGTTGTGTTTAGTCTCTTTTGTTAAGGGAAATTATGGTATTTGACCTTGTGGTATTCTCTTTCCTGTTAAGCTAGCTTCTATTCTGTCTTATTGATAGAAACTGGGGCTTGCATTTGTTTTTTGAAGCCTATGTTTTGTTTTTGCTCGGTTCTGGTCTTTGATTTAAGTGATGGTATTTTGAGAGATTCAGTTGGATCTTGTAGATAACTTCTGAGAATTTATGTGAGTTAATGGGGTCACAGCTAATTGTGATCAAATTCTTATCAGTCAATAGGGTTTTGATACGACCTTACTTCCATGTGAGGAACATCTATGCACATTGTTTGATTTTTCATAACACCTCTTCTATAAAGAAGCACATTACAAGTTTTTCCCGTTAGACAAGATCAAAATTTCAGGAGAATAGAAATTGAAGCGGTGGAAAATAAATAAGTTTGAGAATTGATTTCCCCCCCTCCGCCATTATCATTAATGACACCATTTCAAGCTTATGTAACTTGTCACAGAATTGGTGGTAAAAATGTTCATGAGTTTCTTGCTATGGCTCATGTATCTTCTTTGTTGATGAGTTTCTCGCTATGGCTCATGTATCTTCTTTGTTCTAGATTGTTAAATACTGCACCTAAATGACATTCCTGTAATGTGATTTTTCTGACCTTTAACCTTCATGAATAAATATATACAATTTCATATGTTACCCTTTGCCACCTTTTCCAGAGTGTAAGTCGTCCCCGTAGGCGCAACCTATGCTTATAATTTCTGATTTGAAGTCTTTTTTTGGAATCACGAATATCTTCCACATGTTTATAGACCACAATAGCCTTCAACCTTCTGCAGCTTTTCCATTTCTCCTTGTGAATCTTTGCTGGGATTATACATCGGATTTTGGGACTTGAACAGCACTTCAATTGTGCACAATAGGCGTGATCTCATTAAGTTATGAACATGATAGTGAAGCACCACCTTTTATACGTTCACCAAAAGAAATTAATTCTCAGATGATACCTCTTAAATTGCCCAACTAGACATTGTCCAAGTCAATTCTAGTCTAAGCATCAATCCAAGCTTTATGTTGAAATTACCCTAGAGGGGGGTGAATAGGGTATTTGCTAATCTAATCCGATTTTGATGCCAAAAAAACTTATTAACTAATTATCCTAGCAAGTATGATATTCAATAAGATTATATGCAAGAATGAACAATAACACAATAGGCGATATGAAAATATGCACAATAAGAGTACGCCAAACCAAACACAAACACAAGAAATTGATCACGGAGTTCGGTCAACTCACGACCTACATCTCCGCTCCTCACCTCGAGGAGATTCTCCACCAATCACAAAATCAACTACACAATCGGTTTTCTAGCTCACCGAAAACTTTTATAATACACGTTGACAATCACACAATACACTCCAAAGTGTTGGCCGATCGATGTCACACTCCTCAAGTGCTTGAAATTACTACCTCTCTCTAGACTTTTACAACCAAGTCACTTCTCTTGGAATTGACCCTGTTCTTCTCCCGACCACGCCTCTAAGCGTCCTTGTGTAATACAACATGTTATCAACAATTAAGTGTAAATACAATGATTTGTTCTCTAATACAAATTGAGAACGAAATTGTAGCAATCAAGAATCACAACCACAACCCAAATTTACTATGTGTGAAAAACTTAAGTTCAATGGTTGTGTGTGAAATAATATGTATAATGAAATTTAAACTCAAGTTAATTTAGCAAAAATATATGAAAAACAAAATAATAATTTGCTAGAAGAAAAGAGTTTAGAAAACTTCTCCAAAAACAAGAGGTAGAAATTTGAGGTTGAAATCCTCAAGAACGTTTTTGCAATTCTTCTCTTGTTAAAATCTCTTCACATAAACAAATCACACTTGATTTTCTTTGAAACTCTTAAACAAAAGTTTGAAAACTTGTTCTAAACTTCCATGGTTTAAACTGAGTGTTGAGGACTATTTATAGTCTCAACATATCACCCTAAACCAGAGAAAAGCATACAAAACAAGGTGAAAATAAAAAAAGTTGGAATCTAGAAAAACTAGTTGTTACAGTGTCATCGGTCGACTGATGTAACATGATCAGTCGACTGATAAGTCGACCGTTGGCAGACTGGAAATCAGAAGCTCCGTCGGTCGACTGATGTTGGTTCATCAGTCGACTGATGGGCTCGTATCGGTCGACTGATGATCTTGTATCAGTCGACTGATCGA